TTTTCAACTTTTTGGATTCTTTTCATTTTGCTTTATATTAATATAATTATAATAAATTTTAAAAGTTATGAAAAAAAATTTTTATTTAAAAAGAAACTTTTTAAACTTACTATATTTATATTAGATTTATTTTATATAATAAGTTAAATATTTGTTTAACATATCATATTTGGATACTATTGTTTCCTTTTTTAGTAATAACATAGACTTTATATTACATAAATATGATGCAATTTTTTTATTAATACGTTAAATGTATCAAATCTTGAAACAATGGTAACTGTTTAATATTTCCTTTTTAGTAATAATCTAAAATCATATAATAAAATAGACTTTTATTTATTATTCTTTAAAATAAACTTTTCGTTCTAAACCTTTTTTTTTTGTTTTCAAAATAAATTTTTATTTTTTTTTATCTTTACAAATTAACAATTTACGATTTGAAATATGCGTAAAAATCGTATATCGTTGATTAAACCATTATCTATACGCCGAAGTACAAATTTTTCTAATCGTAATATTCTTAATAAATATAAACAACCTAGATTATTTAATCCAGTTAAGTATAGTAACATAGTTAACTATGGCAAAGGAATATTCTTTTTGTGTAAATAATTACAATAATTGATATTAAGTAAAATTTTCTATTTCTTATTTATAGAATCGAATATACATTATGATAAAGTGGACGAAACTGATGAAATAGAAAATATTTCAAATAATGATGAAAAACAAAAGTGATGATGATTTCAATCAGTTTAGAGAAAATAATAATAAAGATATAGAGGAGAAAAATTCTGATGAAATAGAAGAAGATAATTATGATTTTATAGAGGAAGAAACTGATAATATTTATAATCGCGAAAGTGATAATAATTATAACGCATATGAAGAAAATTTGATAATTGATGCATCTATAAATATCAACCAAATGGTAAATTTAAATAAAAATGCTTCTTACTTTGAAAATTCAACTTCTACATTATTGTTTTGTTGGATACAAAAACACAATATTTGTAAGTTTTATTTCTATTACTACTTTAATAAATTTATTTAATAATCTATTAAATAATAGTGAAATATCATTTTTTAATATAGCAACGAATGCAAGTAATGATTTAGTAGATATATTATTAAATCCAATTTTTAATGCAAATGATATTGTAAAAAAATGTAAGAAGACTTCGGCAATGGAGAAATTGATTACTATTAATTCCAATAAGAGCATGTAAAATTAAGATTAATCAAATGAAGACTCCATCTACATCTAAAACAAAAAAACTTTCATATTATTTATCTGTTACTGATATTATTTGGAATATATTAAATAATCCAACTATATATGATAAATTATATTTTGGATTGGGAATAGAAGTCAAGGCTAAAAAAGAATATTGGCATGGAGATCTTTGGGCAGAATCGCCATTATTTGGTCAAGATAAAATAATCATTAATCAAGGTATTATATATTGTAAATATTATATTAATTATCATATAAATTAATTTTTAATAATTTTTAAATAGAATACTATTATCCAAGTGAATTCATTATATATAAAGAAAATAATAATCGAATATTTGGAAGAATACGATCTATTATTTCCATTAATAGTGAATTTCGGATAAAAATTCAACGAATTTATGTTTATATTGAATTACCAAATTATTTTTATAGTAATACTCGTTCAGCTACACAAGAATCACAATTATGGTTGGTAGATCAACATTTAGAAGAGGGTAGTATTATTATAAACATAGATGAAATCATTAGAAAAACAAATATTAAAATCATTCGCAATATTAATATCACTGATGGTTTTTATATCAAAGAAATTTTATACAAGAATAATGGGATATAAAATTAGACTATATGCTTCCATATAAATATTCAGTTTTAACTCCACCACCATCACAATATAAAAATCTTAAAGTTCTAAAGTTATTTATTGATATTTATTATGACGACTTTGGAACCTATCGAAATGTTTACCACTCTTTAGG